TGGGTAGTATAGTCATTTTCACAATGTTGATTCTTCCGATCCAAGAGTATGGTATATCTCTCCATCTATTTGTATCATCTTTAATTTCTTTCATCAGTGTCTTATAATGTTTTGCATACAGGTCTTTTGTCTCCTTAGGTAGATTTATTCCTAGGCATTTTTTTCTTTTTGTTGCCATGGTGAATGGGAGTGTTGTCTTTGGTTTATTACTTTGCCAAGAAATGTACCAGTTCTTCGACACTGAAAACAGGAACCCACCCCTTTGATTTTAACCTGCTGACATCTTGTCCCTGATGTGACCATGATGCCAGGTGATACCCAGGAAATAGACTCTTTTTCAGCTCTGGTGCTTTTCATTCTAATAGCCCCCTCCTCCTGATACAGTCAGCTGCTTGCTGACACCACTCAGCGCTGGGGCCCCCAGTACTCTGTTGCTGACATTCTGGATCCCTTGGCACCTTAGTGTGCAATGCCAGCCAGCTCCTCTCTGAAACTCACCCTCTGCCAGGTCCTTCCTGACCCTCCTTCAAAACACGGTGTGTTTTATCTTCCACCTAACGCATCATGAATTTCTTTTGCCCTGCATCCTACTTCACATAATCCTTAGCAAAGAATTACTGATGATGTTTATTGAGAACGTACCTGATGCCAAGTCAAGTGCTTTCCATACCTTATCTTATTTCATAGTTACAAAAATACTATTCAGTATGTATCCAAACCCCACTTTTACAGAGGAGGAGACTGAGGCTTCCAGAGGTTAATTAATTTACCTACATGGCTAATCAGAGCAGAGCTAGGATTTAAATCTAACACTGCTTTTGACCAGAAAGCCCTGATTCTTAGCCAGGAAACCATACTGCCTTATAGAAAATACAGAAAAAATGTTCACATGGTAAACAGTCCCTTAAATAATATTTCTCAATGAGTAAAATGGCTGTTGAAAAGAAATATATATATATATATATATATATATATTCATTGCCCACCATGTAAGGATCCATCTCTTAAGTTTTAGCTCAGGACTGTGTTTCCCTTTGCTAGCGAACTTGTACATTTCCCTTCCATAGCTAAAGCGAGGATCTTAAAGCTTGGGTTTCCCCAGGTGGCTTGGAGTGAAATTTAGTCCTTAATTGCAGCAGCTCTTTTTAGCTTACTTGGTATAATGCTCTTCCTTTTTTTGAACATGACTTTATTTATCTATATGGCTGGTTCAATTGCACGTGTTTTCTTTCCTACTAGACTATGAGCATTTTGGGTGAATGAACTGAATAGGTACCTAATTTTGTAAGCTGCTTTTTCCAGAAGCAATTAGGCTGGTCTTTCAAGTGGGACTCAGTTGTGACCAGTTTTTTCTGCAAAGTACTCAGCATTTCCTCTGTGGCTGAACGTGGCTTGGACACGCGTGTTTGAGTATAACCTTGTTACCGCGGCTGTAAAGATGTGTGTGTGGCCGGTCCGAAGCTTCAGGCAACCAAGTAAAAGGTGATAAAGGGAAGCTATTTACAAAATGCTGAGAAACTAGAGTGATGAGTTGTGAAATGGGGAGAAATGCCTTCCGGGCCTGTATCAACCTGAGGGGGGCCTCCCTCCAGGTGGCAAAATTAGAGAAGATCGGTGTGGGTATTTCCCCATGTTTAGGAAGGATTTAAATGATGGTTAAAAATAACAGCTGGTGAGACTACTGGGTCCCGGCGCCAGTGCTGAGAGGGAAGCGTTAGCCATTGTTGATGTCTCATCCCCTGGACCATGGGAATCTGTCCAGGCTGAAATGACCATGGCCACACATGGCGCCCCAAATTAGGACTGGCCTTAGGAAAGGGAGAGCAGTCCTAGCTCATGCATCTGATTCTCACCTTTAAACCTGTTTGGTCTGAAATTTAACTTTGAGAAAAGAGGAGATGGTAATTGAAGTCTTCTTTCAAAGAAAGGTTCTTGCCTATTTATGTACGAGGATGGATTTGGCCAGGAGGGGGAAAGTCTGACTTATATCTATAGTTAGCTGAATATGTACCCCTTATAACTGGCAGAGGCATGCGTACTCTGGAACTCCCCCCTGTCACTTGCAATTGGCCCGTGGATGTATGTACGTTTTATTAGCTGTGGAAAGAGTTAAGACTGGGTTGGAGGCTGGCAGCTGGCTCTTGCCTCTGCCATGTGTTTGGGGCCCAGAACGTTTGTGAGAGTTGCCCCAATTGTTATGATGAGAGAAAAGTACCTTTGATAGAAATAGAGAAATCAGGAAGTGTGGCCTATTTTTTAGGAAGATAATTAGTTCATTTTTCTACATCTTGAGTTTGAAATGAGAGTTTGACATCCAGTTGGAAATGTCTGGTGCTGAGCTGAGTCTGCTTAGTTGAAAGAGAGCTTAGGCGGCTTGTGTTCTAGATGGGATTCTTTCACTAACTGGCATCCTGCTCTTGGTCAAGCCCTGTAACTTTTAAGAGTCTCTTGGGTTGATCTCTAAGTCAGCAGCTCTCAGCCCATACAGGGGCATGCTGGGGTGAGCTCTAGTTTGGAGGGAGAGAGAGGAAGGGGCGTCCTCTCGGGCCTGTCACTCAGTGGTGTCACAGGGAAAAGAAGACAGGGGCCCCCGCCCCCCTCCAAACATCCTTCATCAGGGACAGTTGCTGTCATGAGTGTGGCTTGAGGGATGGCAAGGTTTGGGAACCCTGAAGCCCTGACCAGTCATCCCCAGAGACTGGCCTTCTGTCACTGTCTCTTCCTGTAACGTACACCTTGTTACTCAGCAGTGCCCGGAGGGACTGCTAGGACCACTCCAGCTTAATGCACAGACGCAAACTTAGTGCCCAAAGGGACCCTATGGGGGACTCACATGGAGAATGATAGGTGTGTGGGGAGAGAGCACAGGGGCTGATTCTCTCCCACAGAACCCCTGTCAGGGAGGCCCTCAGCCTCTGCTTGGATGCCCCCATTGGCGGGGAGATTACCCCTTCTGGTGCTGCCCAGTTTACCTTCCTGAAGCTCTGTTAAAAGGGTGTTCCCTACCCACACCCTAGAATTGACTCCCCCTCATGCCTGCCAGTTCCCTAATTCTGCTCAGAGGCTTCTCAATCCTCTTAGCCCCCTTTGCAGATGGAGAGGCAGAACCGGACATGCCCCGTGGCTCACTCACTATAACAGAGCTTTGCTCTTTCCCCTATGGGGAGATCCAACTTTCTCTCTCTCTCTCTCTCTCTTTCTTCATATTCTTTTCCATTATGGTTTATTATAGGATATTGAATATGGTCCCCTGCGCTAAAAAATAAGACCTTGTGTTTTTTTTAACATCTTTATTGGAGTATAATTGCTTTACAATGGTGTGTTAGTTTCTGCCGTGTAACAAAATGAATCAGCTATACGTGTACATATATCCCCTTATCTCCTCCCTCTTGCATCTCCCTCCCACCCCTCTAGGTGATCAGAAAGCACCGAGCTGATCCCCCTGTGTTATGTGGCTGCTTCCCACTAGCTATCTATTTTACATTTGGTAGTGTTTATATGTCCATGCCACTCTCTCACTTTGTCCCAGCTTACCCTTCGCCCTCCTTGTGTCCTCAAGTCCATTCTTTATGTCTGCGTCTTTATTCCTGTCCGGCCTCTAGAAGACCTTGTTTTTTATCCGTTCAATATATAATAGTTTGCATCCCAAACTCCCAATCCAACCCTCCCCTGCCCCTGCCCCCCACCCTTGGCAACCACAAGTTTGTTTGCTATGTCTGTGAGTCTGTTTCTGTTTTGTAGATAAGTTCATCTATGTTCTATTTTAGATTCCACATATAAGTGATATCATATGATATTTGTCTTCCTCTTTCTGACTTACTTTGCTTAGTATGATAATCTTGGTCCATCCATGTTGCTGCAAATGGCATTATTCCATTCTTTTTTATGGCTGAGTAGTATTCCACTGTGTATATGTACCACATCTTCTTTATCCATTCAACTGTCGATGGACATTTAGGTTGTTTCCATGTCTTGCCTATTGTAAATAGTGTTGCTATGAACATAGGGATGCATGTATCTTTTTGAAGTAAGAGTTTTGTCTGGATATATGCCCAGGAGTGGGATTGCTGGATCATATGGCAACTCTAGTTTTTTGAGGAGCCTCCATGATGTGAGAGACCCATCCTTCTAACTGTGTCTCTCTTCCCTCCCTTTCACCTTAGTCTGGAGCCTCTGGCCTGTCTTGCACTGGTGGGAACTTCAAAGTCCCAGGGGTGGTGCTCTGGTACGAGGAGCTTGGAGGGCCTGTTCATCTGGTCTAAGGGGATGCGATGCTTTCATTTCCTGTGAGCATGCTGGAAGCTGCTTTGTTTTGGGACACCTTGAGATGCTGCCCACCTTTCCTGCAGGGCAGGTGTGATTGGTGTCTCAGAGGGCTATGCTCATGAGCCACTCGTGCAGGCAGGTACAGGGCTCCTTCTCAGAGGTACAGACTGTTGTCTGTGTTTACTCAGAGTCTGGCATTTCCGACCTGCTTTGAGTGCAGTGTTAAGTGCAGCACCTGCTTTACCTGGGAAAGCGAAACAGTTGGATTTCCTCACGGTCATGGCTAAGACATATGGTCACTGGGCAGCCTCACATTTTGGGGTGTGCAGTCCTTTCCTAGGAGGATGGAGGAAGGGTTTATCAGGCCAGGGAAAGGAACAGAGAGTATCCTTGTAGAGTATCAAGGAAAGGAACAGAGAGTATCCATGGAGAGACAGTTGGGTGATGCCAGGGTATCCCACAGTCTGCCAGGACCACATGGCTCAAGTTCCTCATTAAATGGGGAGAATGAAGTAAGACGTACAATGAAGGAAGGGACAGAACTTAGGATCCTTCGGGAATTGCTCTGGCCGCGGGGACCCTGGAATTCTCTGACTTTCCCTCTACCAGTGTTCTTGTTATTTAAAAAATACTCCTGGCCATCTGAACACCAGGGTGGTCCTTCAGGGAAGGAAAGGAGGAATGGATGATGATGTCTTTCTTTCCCCTGCCCCCTGTCTCTTGTGAGCAGGGAGAAGATGCCTTTTCACCACGTGACCGCCGGCCTGTTGTACAAGGGGAATTACCTCAACCGATCTCTGTCTGCTGGCAGCGACAGCGAGCAACTGGCTAACATCTCTGTGGAGGAGCTTGACGGTAAGGAGCCCACCTTGCGTGGGAGGTGAGCCACCGAGGGAGGCATCTAGGGGCCCCGTGCATCTAAGACGCTGGCCGTCAGCTGTGGCCAAGTCTAACCATGATGCAGCAGGAAAGAGTTCAGAGATCACTTCTGCCTAAATGACTTCTTTGTGTGGGATGGACCTGGTAGCCTGAAAAATCTATGGTGAATATTTTGGTTCCTTTGGATACCAAAAGGAACCCTTTGACTGGGAGACAGGCTTCTACTCCTGACGCGTATTTTCCAATTGATGGAATCTTGATCGCCAATAGTGTTGCCCTGTTTGCATCTTCTCATTCACCATGGGGCCCAGCTGCGGGGAGGTCATAGACCTGTTAATGGCCGTCTCTTGACTTGTGGCCATGGTGCTTGGAATCCTGCCCAGATCAGAATCATCTGGAAGCTGTGTCTAGGTGGGAATGGCCGGCAATTATTTTGATTGCCTCTGTGCCTCTGTAACAGTGTAGCCTTGGCTTTGGGATGCGAACGAACCTGGGGACGTGATGACTGAATTCATCCTGGGACAGTGCCCCTTTGTATCCTGGGGAGATCAACTCCTTGATTTAAAAAAAAATTAAAACAAGGAAGAAGGTTTTTGTTTTTGTCTTTTAGAATAATAGAGAATTAGGTTGATTCAGCCACATGTTTGCCTAGGTACTGCATCTGCTGAGGCCACGCCAGATTGGTCTCCCTTCTTGTTTTGAAATGCTGTGTTCCTGGTGACACTGTTTTACAACAAGAAGTTTAAGTTTACTTTCTAAAATAGGGAAGTTAAAATTACCCCATATGGCCCATATCTTTGCTTTGAGTATAATGGTCTGAACCAGTGTGATTTCTTTGTGCACATTTCTTACGAGGGGTATGGTAGGCAGGGATATTCATCTCTGGGCCAGGGAAGACAGACTGGCTTCATGAAGGGCACGAGATGGGGCAGGTGAAGGACAGGGCCGTCGGATAGCTTTCTTGCTCTCACCCGTGTTGTTTGCTTGCTTCTCGACAGGCATACCATGTTTTATTACGCTTCGCTTTATTGCACTTCACAGATACTGCATTTTTTTACGGATTGAAGGTTTGGGGCAACACTGCATTGTCAGATGCTGGTTAGCATTTTTTAGCAATAAAATATTTTAAAATTAAGGTATGTACACTGTTTGTTTGGACCTGATGCTATCACACATTTAATAGACTACAGCATAGTGCAAACATAACTTTTATATGCACTGGGAAACTAAAAGATTTGGGGATTCGCTTTATTGTGCTATTTGCTTTATTGCAGTGGTCTGGAACCGAGTGCGCGGTATCTCTGAAGCCTACCTGTAGAGGCTTGTTTATGTCCGTGATGGAGCAGTGGAGCTCAGTGGCCAGTGGGCTGGGTCTGGAGGAGAGGCCAGAGGTTATTAGAGGAAGGGGAGTGATGTGGGCAGAGCCAGGCTCTCTAGGCCCAGCATCTGCTCACTGTGGTCTGAACAGACTTGGGGCCAGAGAGGAGAGCAGTATCCTCAGATCTCCTGGCCTTCAACTGGCCAGAGGATATTTGGACAAGGACGCGGAAGCAGAAAATAGAGCCCTGCCCATCCTGGTGGCCACAAACAAGGCCGAGGCTGAGCTGGGTGTGTTGGCAAAGTGAGGTGAGGCCCAGGCTTTCCTGTGTCCTGCAGAGGAGTCCTACCTAGTGGAGAGCAGGGCAGTGGTGCATTGATTTGGGAGGGGGGCTGGTTGCTGGTCCTCCAGTTTTAGTCATCACTTAGCAGGGGGGACTGGGAGCCTCCTGTGTGGAGCCCTATGGAGCAGAGGCCATGAGGCTTGGGCAGAAAGTCTGTGTGTTTCGGGCAACTCTTTTGTTTTCTTTTTAAATTGATGTATCGTTGATTTACAATGCTGTGCTCGTTTCAGGTGTACAGCAAAGTGTTTCAGTTATACATATACGTATGTATATATACTCCTTTTCAGATTCTTTTCCTTTATAAGTTATTACAAGATATTGAGTGTAGTTCCTTGTGCTATACAGTAGGTCGTTTATCTATTTTATATACAGTAGTGTGTATAAGTTAACCCCAAACTCTTAATTTATCCCCACCCCCTTTCCCCTTTGGTAACCACAAGTTTGTTTTCTCTCTGTGGGTCTGTTTCTGTTTTATATATAAGTTCATTTGTATCATTTTTTTTGATTCCACATATAAGCGATATCATATGATATTTCTTTTTCTCTGTCTGACTTACTTCACTTAGTATGATAAGCCCTAGGTCCATCCATGTTGCTGCAAATGGCGTTATTTCATTCTTTTTTGCAGCTGAGTAATATTCCATTGTATAAATATACTACATCTCCTTTATCCATTCATCTGTCGATGCTCATTTACGTGGTTTCCATGTCTTGGCCGTAGTAAATAGTGCTGCAGTGAACAGGGGGGTGCATGTATGCTTTTGAATTATGGTTTTCTCCGGATATGTGTTGGGCAACTCTTGCAGAGGCTGCGATGCCTAACCCAGTGAAGTTTGGAAATCGTCTATGGCTTTCACATACCCTGGCTTTCCATTTTTCTTCCTCCTCCTTCCCAGCTTTGCCATGAATAATCAAGAGATGATTTTTCCAAGACTTCTCAGAGTGATGGCTTTTTTCTCTGTGAAATCTGGGCCACTGTCAGGGCGCATGGCTTTTCAAGAGATCCACTGCCTGGATTTCGGCCCTTCTCCACTCGGGCACTGGCTGAACTCTGTTCTTGGGCAAAGCAGCAGAGCTCACCATCCTGTTGTTTCTGTCAGGCACAGGCAGCTGAATGGGGCTGAAAGGCGCCTTCTCAGCAGGTGAGACTAGCGGGGGGTAATTCTCACAGCCCCGGAGGTCCAGGTGGGTGGCCTTGGCCCTGGAAGCCCTGGTTGTGGGGGTCAGGGGTCCCTGGTTGAGTGAAGCTGGACTTTATGGCCTGAGGTTGGCTGGGGAAGATGCTGTATTTGTCCTTCAGGAGGGTAATCCAGGCTCTCTCGGCCTGGAGAAAGGCCATTTATTTTCTAATGGAAGATTCCTCCTACTTATTTATTTATTTATGTCTGCCAAGGTGAACCCTGAGTTATGACTGCTTACGCTTCGTTACGAGCATCTTGGGGCTCCAGGCAGGGCTGTGAGATGTGTTCTGAGTGCAGAACAGGCGGGCAGGGTCTGGAAACCATCTGGCTTGAATCAGTTCAGAGGACTGCAGCTTGGTTCTTGGAGAAGCCGGTTTCCGAGACTGTGCTTGTTTGCTGTTCTCTTGGAGCTGCCTTGTGTCAGCCAAGCCCTAATATCCTACTGTTCGGGGCCGCTCATTTATCCTCACGGGACATGTGGTGCTGCACAGGGAGTCGATGTGTTGGACACTGGTGGATATTGAAGCATCCTTTGTGGTCCAGCCACCTTGGGTGCAGATGTTATTTGGGTACCATCCCCGCCCCGTGTGGCTGCAGCCTTTTGCTTACGGATCACCAAGGGCGGCTTCCCTCACCGGGTCAGTGTTTGTCACTGGGGATGGAATGCCCCTTTCCTTCAGTGTAAGGATCAAGGGTGCCCAGTCCATGAGAGGTTACCCTCTGAGAACGGGGCCAACTCAACAGGCAGGCCACCTCCAGTTGCCCTTCGCTCTGGGAAGTTTCTACTTCTTCTCTTTAAACAAAGCTTATGAGGAAATAATGCAAAGCTGCATCAAATTGGCCAGACTGGAATTGGAAATCACCCAACAAACAAACTCAGCAAATGATGAATTGAGATCCTTCCTTCCTCTCCTTCCTTCCTCTTCATTCATATTTTCATTCCTGTCCATTCATTCATTACAGGAATGTTTACCCAAATGCTTTCTGGGTGGAGGAGGAATTCAAAGAAGTATAATCTTCGTTGCCTGGCTCAAGGATTTTACAATCAACCCAGGGAGTTTATGTACATACAAAATTTATTAGCAGTATCTTGTACTTTTAGAGTGTGTCATGTGGAATTTTATTAGATGCATGAATTATAATTTTTTAAAAACAGTTTTTTCATTGCTGTTTATTGAATAATCTTGTGAGGCTGTCTTAATCTTAAACTGAGCTTGCCTCTATCTGAATTTTACTCATTTTCATTAATGTATGGTGTTCCACTGTATATAAATATACCTCAATTTCCGTATCCATTCTATTCAGGATGGATATTTGGGTTGTTTCCAGTTTGGGGCTATTAGGATGTAATCAACCTCCCCTTCTGTTGCAGCTGTGATGTTGGGGGCTGCTGTCCTCACGGCTCCCTGTGGCCACTGAAATGTCTGACAGTGGGTATTTCACGTTATTTTTGCCAGTAACAGTGTCAGCCTCTCAGATTCATTTCTTGGGTCTTCCTTTTAGCCTGGGTTAGTTTGCTGTCACAGCTTGGATGACTGTTATTTCTGTTTCTTTCTTCAGGGATGCCTCCCATTCTAATGCTAGATCTTCATTCGATGTTTTCCACAAAATGCGTCTCTTCTCACATCATTTTCCTCTGTTTTGCACTTCTATGTTCATTCCTGAGTCTGTCTACCACCTCGTTGACTCGTTGATTTAGTTGTTTGCAGTCACTTAAAAAATTTTGTTTTTGATTCCCTTTAGCGTGTATGTTCATTATGGATGAAAGTTTCAGTTTCTCTGTAGTTTGATTTTATTTCAGTAGCTCCCCCTTAACTTTTTGGTCAAAGTATAATACAGAAAAGCATTATTGCACAGTTCAATTCTTAATCAAACATGAACATACATGCAGCAACCACCCAGGTTAAGGAATAAGGTGTTACCAGCACCCTGAAATACCCCTGAGGTCCTTCCTAATACCTCTTCCTCAAAGACAACCACTGCCCTGAATTACCTATCATCATTTAATTGTGTTTGTGTTTTTTCCTTCATCTCAAGGGGGTTATATCATATTTATTGTTTTTCGTCCAGCCTCTTTTCTTCAACATTATACTTGTGAGGCGCAACCATGGTTTTGAAGGTAGTTGAAGTTCAT